AAGTGAACTTAGAAAGTTATGCAAGAAGGGTTGCAGTGGCTTGCTAATTAGAATGAAATGAAAAGTCAGATATAATCCACCAGTAAAAAATTAAATGAGTTTTCATGTTTATGTGGGTGACCTGCTAGGTATAGGGACCCTTAGGTTTGGATGATATTAATGTTACCATGCCTATTTGTGGAAGTTTCCCCATTACAGTTTGTCCTGTTTTGATTGACGACATTCCATTTTTTGCCTAGAACCTGGGCAAAAAGCTTGTATTTTGAGGTCACCGAAAGATCCTTATCAATTATTAAAGTGTCAACAGCTTGACTGACTCACTCATCCCACTTTGGCTTATTAATTTGCAAGTGCCAAGCGCCATTTGCCCTTTCCACCATCCGATTTCCCTGAAGGTAGTAGGTAGAATAGAAAGTCCAAGTTATTGTGTCCAGTTCTGGGCCCCACAGTACAAGAGGGATGTGGAGCTGCTGGAGAGAGTCCAGCGCAGGGCTACAAGGATGATCAGGGGCCTGGAACATCTGCCCTACAAAGAGAGGCTGAGGGAGCTGGGCCTGTTCAGCCTGGAGAAGAGAAGGCTGAGAGGGGATCTGATCAGTGTCTATAAGTACCTCAAGGGAGGCAGTGAGGAGGATGGTGCTGGCCTCTTTTCACTGGTGGCCACGGACAGAACTAGAGGTAATGGCCACAAACTGAAGCACCAAAAGTTCCAGATGAACTTAAGGAAAACATTTTTAACAGTGAGGGTGACAAAGCACTGGAACAGGCTGCCCAGAGAGGTCGTGGAGTCTCCTTCTCTGGAGATCTTCAAAACCCACTTGGACGCAGTCCTGTGCCACGTGCTCTAAGTGACCCTGCGTGTGCAGGGGGGTTGGACTAGATGACCTCTAGAGGTCCTTTCCAACCTTAAGCATTCTGTGATTCTATGATTCTATTTTTACAGCCTTACAGGAAAAAGCAGCACAGTTTGAAACTGACAGTGATAAAGTAGTGTTTTAACATTCAGCTTTCAAAGTAGTGGGCACCCGCAAAAAATGAACATTCACCTAGTCACAAAAGCTTGTTAACTGTAGCTAACGATTAAAATATGCATCAGTATTAACGTCAGGGAAAAAGCCAAACAACACTGTAAGTTAAAACAACAGCTACACAAAATGTGTTGCAATGCAAGGAAAATCTGAGCTACTTGTTTAAAATAGAAACACACCCACCCATCTCAAAAACTTAAAAATAAAGATATATACTTTTCAAGTCACTCAAGGAAGCACTGCAGCTGCTCTAACATAATGCTCTCAATCTAAGTATGTCCAGTAGCAAAAAAGAGAACTTGTTCAGTGAGCTGGTCAGTTGGGAAAATAATTTCTTTTTTTACTCTCTTTATCTTGATTTTAAATCTCACGAGACCCTAATGACCAATTTAAATATCAACACTGTTCTCATTATTATAATTTATGATAGGCCTGATTTGATATGACATCTAAATATTTTTTATTCTGTTTTTAGCAGCAGAAAGATATTCCTGTTAGTGAGAGGGAGTTAAAAATAGATCATGGCTTTTTACCTGTGCAAATACACAGAAGAAATTTTACATGTTGTATAAACCAATGTAATGAAAGGAAACATTTAACCCATGTAATAATATTACAAACATTGTCCAGTCTCATAACATCAACGTGTCCTGTCTCATAATATCAAAGATTTGCAGGTCTAAGCTGTAAGTGTTGAAAGACTACTTATAAAATGCCATTTATTTTTCTTCATTGATAAATGTTAAAGGTTAATGGCAGATACCTTGCTTTCGAGGAGCACTTGCTTTCAACAGTTTCCTTTACCTAAAATTGTTAATTGTAAGTTATAATATTGGCCTTTGCTTTTCAGAAGAATTCAAAGTCAAAAAAGAGTTTCCATTATCTGCAACTTGTTTTTATTTAGAATAATTGAATGAAGGAATTTGTTGAATAAATACTAACAATGTTCAGATTCATTTGTCTATCTGATAATTCAGTATGTGCTTATAATATTAAACATTGTTGTTTCCAGGGAGACAAAGAGGCTGCTTTAGGGCTTCCATTTTCCCCACTCTGTGACCGCAAGTCTACTTTGGTAGCTCAGTCCCAAATAGGTAATGACAAGTACTGTTTTTCTTCTTGTTGTATGTTTAAGGAGCATAAAGAAACTGTGTGGACCTTTCTTAGACCCATTTTACATTTTAAATGCTCTGAGTTTCATCTTATACAATGTATTTCTTGTACCTGTTTGTTCGGTGAACTCCTATGCCCTGAAACAGCAACTCACTGGTTTCAAAAGAGTATTAAGTTGTTTTGGCATTTGTGATCCAACGAAAACAGGGTTTACCAGAGTACTAGCCCATCTTTTACTGCATACACTTTGGAGTTTTGGAGCTCATGTCCTTGGAGAGGTCGACCTTGCTTAGGAAGCCAAAGGCATGTCTCTGCTGCCCTCCAGAGCTCTGGTAACATTTTGTAGGTGCATCTCAACTGCAAATCAGCTGGTGGTGTCAGCCCTTCAGCTTCCAAGCCCTCAGCCAGGCACCAAGACCAAACAATTTCAGTTTGTGTTGGTTTGCCTCTGTGGCCTTATTACCTATTTGAAGCTAATTAAGAGAGCAGACTGCTGTTAAGACTACTGTTGTGGCAGGGCGGAGCAGCACAGGGCTGGAGCAGCCTCCTTGGGTTGACAAGGACCACTGCAGCCTGTTCCTACAGACCAACAATGGCCCAACTTCAGTTTCAAGTTTTCAGAAATACAGGTCTTGGTTCCCTCTATCCCAGTATCAGGTCAGCTATAGGAAATAGAGGAAATAGGAAGTGGTTACAAGGACATGCCCTGGAAGCTTACAGAGTAAAACAGCATGTCCCCGTAACAGCTGTACCTTTTATGTGAGACATCTCAAGTACTCCTGGAGAGCTTCTACTGGTGCAAATGTGTTAGCTTTGAATGGAAGCATGTCCTCCTGTCTGATCTTGTCACTCAAAATGCTGTTTCTTCCATTCCTCTGGGACATGAAATGTAACATGCTTGAGGGTTGCCCCTGCTGCAAGTGCGAAGCTGAATGCAAGGCTGGAGCACTGCTGCGTGCCTTGGGTCTGCATTGCGTCGTCAGGGTGTGAAGACACCTGGAAATCCATTGCTAGCTCTCTTTCTTTCTTTCTTTTTTAAATCTATTTTGTTTCTGTGAAATGCTCAGGAGAGAATAAAGCTTCATTCTTTCACTATGTCATTCCTTACCTTGACGAGCACTTTAAAATGTAAAAGACATTGTTCAGAGCTGACATCTCAGAACTGTGGGATGAATGCTGTCTCCCAGGGATATTACTTGTTCTCTTCACTGATTTGACAGAACACTCCTACACACTGTGAAATAACACTTTACCTCCACAGAATAATAAACAGCAGTTTGAAATATTAACTCTTTGGCAGGAAGCTCTGAATGGTAACAGAGGCAGTAGGACTTCTAGCACCTTGGCTCTACTGTAGCTTCCATCCATTCACTAATTCAAATTATTATAATTCAGACTCAAGGTGTGTTCTATACTGCATAAAATTCACATGGAATAGGTATGAAAAGCTACAGTTTCTAGCATTTACTTATGTGCATAAAACTGCCTTTCTTTTGTTGTTGTTGTTTGCTTTCTTCCCCCAAGATTGTGCTAATAGTAACTAGTATATTGAACAAGGCCTACAGTGAGAAAACTTGCCTTATATCAAATTGTAGTCTCTAGATTTGGGAGCTGGGAATTATAATCTGATTTTCTTTTTTCTTGTTTTGTTCCTCAGGTTTCATTGATTTCATAGTAGAACCAACATTTTCTCTTCTTACGGATTCAATGGAGAAAATTGTTATTCCTCTTATAGGGGAAACTTCAAAATCTGAAAGTCCTGCATTTGGGACACCCAGGTATGAACACATTGTTTATTTTTGAACTGACTGCTGTCATTCTCAGCATTCATTCTCCCTAACTATGTCCTTCTCCCTAACTCCTGCTCACGCTGGAGGAACAAATGACGAGCTATACAGCATTGCCACCTACTGGTGCCAGCTGCTATTTGCTACTCTGGCACTGGCCAGCGATGGCCGTGTGCCTAAAATGGCAAAAGTGCAATACAGTGAACAAACTTCACACTTTTAAAATTCAAAGTTGGTTTATGCAGAATTTATAATACATTATTTTTTTCTTTTGACTTCATCTCGAAGTACCAGCCAATAGCTGTATGAGAGTGTTGAAATTCGTAGTTTTCTTACACTGAGTTTTTTTCAGTACTATTTTAATTGACAGTGACAAAAGTTGCCCTTTGTTTTCTGGTAGCAATTATTTTGAGAGGTGGTGCAGGCAATTTCATTTTTTTCTTTTCTTTTTTTTTTTTTTTTCTGAGTTTCGCTATTACTGCAGATCACTTCCCCACTTCACATTCCCATTTTTCAGTGTTTATATATATCAACTTGAGACAAAATTTACTTTGGAGAACTTCAGTTGCATCTCTCTTCAGTATAAGTGTGATGCAGGTGTTTGGGTGGTTGATTTTTACATCATGAAGGAAGCTGGCTGCAAAACAAAATAGCTATTAGAGACAATGTTATCCAGCTGACTGACTGCACTGAAACTATCATTCAATAATCTGATGCTGCTGTTACAAAAGTCCCTTCTATTACCGTTTTTTCTTTTATTTTTTTCTTGTTTTCTCTAAAGCTTCTGATAACGATTCTGCAGAGTATTTGTTTTTTTGTTGTGAAACAGTTGCGTGGCAGTAGCAAAATGATGAATCTAGTTGTTTTCTAATCAGGAATTTGCTTATATTGCTGCAAAGAAATAGTTACTTACGACAGCATTCCTACTGTTCAGAGCAACAGTTCTTAAGTGAAATGTTACTGCTAACGCACATCCTTTAACTGCTCATTTTTGCACATTAGAGATGAGCAGCTCCAGGCTTAATTTTTAGTTGACACCCATAAATGAGTGGTACTTGAGCATTTTATTTAGCATCTCTGGAGTACAGGGATATTATAATTAACTCTTCTTGTACAGGCCACACTGAAATTTTGTCTGCAGCTATATTTCTCCTGACAAGGTTAAAGGAAATCCATTTGTATGTGTATGGATATGTCTTTGGTGCCAGTCAAATAAACTGTGCTGCTTGATCTAGTAAATAAAACCTAGTGTGAAATGATTACCTATACAAGACCAAAAATAGATAGGATTATTTTATTTCTTTAGAAAAAAATGAATTTTTTATTCCTTTTTTGTTTTTTCACACTTTTACATTCACATATAGGAAATCAATTTTATCTGCACTTTACCTTACTAAACTGCAGTAACTCTTAAGTGGTAGATAACACTTTTTTTCTTATTAAAGTTAAAAAAAAATCTAGTTCTTAATAATGAAGAACTAAAATAATAAATTTGAAGAGTTGGCTTTTTTAAGGTCATTGTACTAAATGTTGCTTTGACTACACTTGAAGTGCTAAGAATTTTCAGCTGAAGTAAAATTTATGTATCTGCCATGTATTGTCACATACTGCTTTTTGTCATATGGGTCAGCAAGTAATAATCTGATATCCCTCCCGCAAGCCCCAAGAGATACCATTTGCTCTCGGAAAGCATAGCTAAGAAGCTACTCTGGATTGATTACATAAATATTATTTAAGAAGCAATCTACAAGGATGCATTGTCTGCTGTCATGGCTTTTCAGTAATTTCCTAGAAAAAGGTCAGTAAGAATCAGTCCCAGGTTACAGCTTTATGAACTGAAGAAATGTGTAATATCTTGGGCGCTCTTTGGTGAAGACTATTATTTCCTGTTAGTGATTTACACATGGGCCTTAAAGAATTTGATACAAACTAACTGTTTATGTATTATTAAAATTGCTCTACTGTGTTCATAATTTAGAATTTTCTTCCTTCTGTAGCCAGAATAGTTTGGGAGCAGTAAGCAATGCTGAAGCACAAAGACGACCTGGTTTTAAAAGTGCAAGTGATGGAGGGGCTTACACAGAAAATTCTCTAGCAACTGTAGACCTAACAAGCTTTAAGGACAACTTGATGCAGATCATTCAAGCAAACAAAGAAAGATGGAAGGAATTAGCAATACAAGGTATGATATACTAAGAAGGAATGTTTTATAGATTCCTTAATCTTCCTTAAGATCTCCCCAAGTTTTATTTCTAAATTTCACTTAACCTATAAAAATATATAGTCTCTTATTGCTATATTTTGTTTCATAATGTTTATTTAGGTGGCCTTATTTTGCTGTCCCAAGTGCAAGGAGATGTAGGTGGGCAGGGATGAGACTAAATCTTACAGCCCGTAAAATAGGGCTCTGGGCTGCTCAATTTATCTGCAGACGTCTGTTTTAGAAGTGTACAATCTTGCAAATTTAATCATAACTAATACTGACATCTGCTTTAAATGCCAAAATCAACAATTCGAAGTATTACATATTGCCATGTTTCTTAAAAATGTAAAAAAATATATATATTTTTTTTGCTATTAAAATGCTATTTATTCTTCACTGTATGGCATAATATCGCAGGTTTCTTGGGATCATGCTGTCAGCAATTTTTTAAATCACCCCATGGATCTAATGATTTGGGTAATCACAGCAAGTACTAGAACCAAGGAAGACCAAAATTGACTGTTCAGTTGCCTCTTGACAGTTAATGAAGCCAAACCTGCATGAAGCTCCTTAGCTCATGAGCTGTCTCTGAAAATTGTCTAGGGTTACCATGATCTCTGTGCGATGATTTGCAATAATTTTTGTGTGAACATTGATCCAGGTTAACAAACAGTCATTTGGGAACACTGTGTCCACACAGTCTGTCTTGTTCCTGAGTGAGCACCTGGCATGTTTTAGGACAGTGTTTCAGCACTTGGCCATGATCTGGCCACATGGACTGGTACCCTGGAAGCCAGTGCCAGGCCTGTCTTCCCTCTCATAAAATTCAAAGCAGTATCTTTTTTTTTGAAAGAGGTGTCAGTCAACATGGAAGAAACTCTGCTGACTGGTGCTAAAATCTCATTTAGTTCTTAGAACTAATATTCTCATTAAGAGACGAATAAGTAAGAAAAAACTGTGGTGAATGTATAGCAACACTGACTTGAGAGCTAGGCAGAAAGGACATCTGAGGAGAAGGTTTAAGTCGTTTTGCCCCTTCTGCATGAAAAGCTTCACAAGATCAGTTGCTTCTAACACTAATTGGTCAAAAAGAAATAGGGCTGCTAATTTGGAATCATCAGTAGTAATAGCATAAGATCAGAGTGCCAAAGACCACTAAGCTACAACCTGCAGAATTCAACCACTATTGATCTAGCTGTGTACGAGGTCCTTCAACATGGACACAACGGAGATAATGTTATCTGGAAGTTTGTCGCTTCCAGCTGTAGCTATTGCTAATGAAGCAGTTTGGTTTGGGGGGATCTAGAGGGACTTAGTGTGGAGATGCTTAGGGAGTGCAGTCAGTCTCTGCAGGGGTCTTGTGAATAGCACACATGTTTCTGATTACAGAGTTCTGGTTTTGTCTGTATATACATATATAGAACAAGTTGTTGTTGTTGTTGTTGTTTTTTGTAAAATCTTAAGGGGATTGTATAAGTTTTGAGAAAGTTATTTTCCATTCTTTTCTCAGAAACATTTTTTTTTAGCTCCACATATGGGCCCTAAGGGATGCTGGAAAAGGACTTTGCACTAAGTGAACGTAGCTTTCTATAGGGTGCAATGTGATATAGCACATACATATTTTTGCCGCACTGGGAGCAGAAATGTGTCCAATCAGTCCAGACAGACAATATACCTGCTCTAAACTGCATGTTGTAAAGAGTGAAAATCCTTAACCAGACTCTGCAAAATTAATAAAAATCTAATAAAGAATAGAGACTTTGAAATGCGTACTGTTTCCACTCTTAATTCTTTTCAGCTCACACTCAGATTTGACTTAGTTTGACTTAAACCTGTAAGTTAAACCTGAGACTTTGTACCTGAGATAATTTTTTCTATCCTATTAGGGGCATACTTTTTGGTAGATCATTTATGACCTGTTTGTATCTGACATGGCAGTTTCTGATTCAGTCATTTGCTGCAAGTTTGTACGTTGCTCTAGATATGTGTATGAAGTGGAGTTTTATTTGCACATTAGTGTGTACATGTACTGAGGGGAAAAATGTAGGGGTAAATCACTGCCAGGTAAGCAAGAGTTGGTATTGCTATCATTATTCATAGCTAGGTAATTTATTGCAAGAGAGCTGAATGCGCTGAAGGTCATGTGTGTTATGAGTGTCTGCCATAGTAGTGAGCAGCCTGGCTGCTGGTACAGACCTCCATGCAAGCTTCCTGGTTGTGGCAAACAGTACTTCTGCTTCTGAAAAACAAATCTGCATTTGTGTCTGCAGTCTGTGCATATAGACGTTGTTCCCAGACTGCCAGATAAGTTCATAGACTTAGGAGAAACTGTCTGTAAAGGGTAGCAGTGTAGATGCACCAATGCGCAAGGGCACTAACAACATTCCTTATGATTTTCTGAGTAGGACTCCAGCTTCTCGCCTTGCCAGGACACCACAATGCGTTGAGCAGTGCCTGGGATGCAGCTCTGCTGAGTGAGGAGGCTTGGGTAGGTGCTCTGGCTCGCATGTCCAGACAGACCAGAGCAGGAGAGCAGGACACGCTCAGCGCTGTTGACATGGGAGCTTTCCTGGAGATGTAACAGGACCTCTCTGTGCTCTCTGGAAAGATAGTTACTATTGAGGCTGCTGATCCAGGGCAAACAGCTTGTGCAAGGAATG